GAGTCAAGACCTACAAATAAATCACAATTCAAAACATGCCAAGCCCTTCAAAACCACTGTGATCATGAGGTTCAGCCTGGCCTCACCCCACCAATCCCTGAGGAGGGCACTGTGCTCACAGCTGCCCTGCTCCAGCAATGAAGGAGTTAAACCAGAATCCCCTCTCCAGGGCAGTTATCCTCTCTTCCCTCAATGTTCTGGGGAGCTGTGGGGCAAACAGCAGCACAGGGACATGGGGAGGGAGCTGCACAGAATCAGGGATGGGGCAAAGGCAGCACAGCATCTCTGCACACCCCAGCAAAGAATTCCCAAGGGACAGGCTCCCACTCCACCAGAAACTGGGAAAATCAAGGATTAGAAAATAGAGTAAGACTAATAATTTACAGATCACTTACAAAGGCTTTCTTTGTTAGGGCTCTATTCAAAACCATCCACATCCATGAGTGGTGCTGGCTGGACTGTACAAACAACATGCAAGTCCCATGTTCCTGAGTGCATTCATGTGCAAGTGCTGAAAGCTGAGGGGAAATGCCCTGTGCTAAACCACAACCACAACCATGCCTGCTCACATCAAGGGCCTGCATGACTCTGCCAAAAGCAAAAAAAAAATGAAAGATTTAATCTTATTAAGACAGATGCACATTCAGCTCAATAAAGGTGAAAAAGAGAACATTTCTTTCAAAAAATGTTGGAAAAAATCCACGTAACAGCTAAGTTAATTATCTTATTTTTAAAAATACAATCAACCACAACCATGCCTGCTCACATCAAGGGCTTGCATGACTATCAAAAGCAAAGAATATTCAAGATTTAATCCCATTAAGACAGGTGTACACTCAGCTCCATAAAGGTGAAAAAGAGAACATTTCTTTCAAAAAATGTTGAAAAAATCCAGGTAACAGCTAAGTTAATTATCTTATTTTTAAAAATACAAGTGAACTGGTTTGTGTAGGATGCTTTGATACCAAAAGTAAGGTCTACCTATCAAAAAAAAACAGGGAGTAAAAAACAAGAAGAAAATTTCAATTAATACTCAAAGCAATTTCAATTGGGATTTACTGAAGGAATATGCTCCAAAGTGATAAAGTCTATTAAAAGAAAACAAACACCACAACAAATATGAGAAGTCCTTTCTGGACAGCATCCTTTCCAATTTGTGTTGTACCATTCTTCCTTCTTTCCACTGCAGTGCAATTCCATCCATTGACTTGCTCATATCTCAGTTCAAAAGGGAAAAAAGTAATAAAATTTAATTTCATCCAGCTAAAAATTTTGGCAGATATTCTGCACTAAAAATATACACCATAATTTAGAATAAATGTTCCAAATCAGTTCAATCCTTGCTCACTCCAAGCATCATCATGAAATTCAGCACTTGTATTCCTAAACCTTGTTAACACATGTATGACCTTGATCAAAAAAGTGGATTTTTAGTTTCTTTAAGCTGCAAAACTAAAACTGCATCATAAAAAGGGCAACAGCGGGTCTGCCAAGCCAACTTAATGTTTTCAAGTTGGCTTATTACAAGATTATGCTTTGCACATCTGGAAAAGGAAAATTAAGAGGGTGCTCAATCAGCTCTTTGCAGCCTTGATGGCAACAAAACCTGGATGTTCCTGGTATGGTGTTTACACACAGCCCAAAGCTGGGGATACTGAGTCACGTGTGGCTTTGGTGTGCCCTCTGCTGAGGGGATGGTACAGAGGGTGAGCGGGCACCTGGGCACTGCTGGCACCTGGGCTCTGTGCTGGCACCTGGGCACTGCTGGCACCTGGGCACTGTGCTGGCACCGTGGGCACTGTGCTGGCACCTGGGCACTGTGCTGGCACCTGGGCACTGCTGGCACTGTGGGCACTGCTGGCACCTGGGCACTGCTGGCACCGTGGGCACTGCTGCAGTGTTGATGCACAAACACAGCTCAGGCTGTGCAGGCAGCCACAGCATCAGCCAGCACTGCACACATCACAAGGGATTTCTCCCTGGCTCTTCCCTAATTTTCCCCTCCCTTTCTTTCTCCTTCCTTTTGTTTTGATCCTCTGTGGGGAGCTTTCCTCACTTTCCTCACTTTCCCCTCTGCCCCTGCATGGGCTCCTGGAGATTTCCCTGACACCACAACACCAGGCCATGTGCAACTGCCCCGTTCTTCTGAGCTCTGCACCAGGAAGTGGCTAAAAATGATGATGGCAAGTGAAGCAGGATGTAAAATGTGACTTTGGAAATGCAGGCAAATTAATTTTTAAGTATGAATCCCTTCTATATAGGTTTTCCATTAGCAGGAATAAAATTAAAGAAGTGTCTGCTCAGCTGGGAAAAGAACACAATATAAACCCTAAGGAAAACTAAGTATATTCCTTCCCTTGTATCCATTACTGGGAGCTTACAAAGCTTCCTTTCTTTAATGAGCACTTGCCTGCTAGAAGTGATGAATATTTCAGATGCTCTTTCAAAATAAACATGGAGAACCTAATGCAGTATTTATGGCACAGATGAATTTCCTAAACAAGCTGCCCAATAACCAGAAAGGAGCATTAAGGCATGAGTATAGAAAGCTATAAATAGTACACAAAAGGCACAGTGTAATAGTGTGCATCACTTTTAGTCCTGATTGTATCTGTCCAATCCATTTGTACCTGGACAGCAGTGCTTCTTTTCCCCTGTACAGAATTTGGGAATGGCCTGGTCCTCAGCAGCACAGCTAGAACATGAACCCTCTAAGGAAATAAATGTGCATCTACCAAAACTTAGGAGAGTTAGGAAAAAACCCAGAGCTCCATGTATTATTGGAAGAAAGTATGACAAATCCTCCTTTAAGGAGCCTAAGAATAGTATTTGAAGAAAATACAAATTAAAAAGGACACATCCTGTTTGAATTTTGAAAATGTCAGTGGTCAGATGCCCTCAGCCACTACCAATCATGAAATCAAACAGTGAAGTCATAATTCAACAGACAGGACAACACCACTTTTCATGGTCTTTTCATGGTGTCCCAGCAACAGCAGAAACCAGCTTAGAGCCAGGTAACACAATGCCACACTTCTGAAAATGCCCTAAAGAAGTGTGCAAAGCATGCAGCTTTTTGCAAGTTTGCTGCAGCTGACAGAGCTGAGGTGTAACTCAGGTGCCCAGCCTCCCTTCTCCCATCCAAAACCAAAGGCAGCCCCAGTGCAGCATTCCAGGAGATGCCTCCAGAGCTACTGTGCCTTCCTGGGTGGAAGGAAGACACAAGGAGACAAACGCAAGGAGACAAACTCTTAGGAAATACACCCCAGCACTACAAAACAAATACAAATACCAGAAAACACAAACCCAGCACCTAAAACCAAAGGGGAAATATCACAGAATCAGTTCAGCAAAGAAAAAGTCAAACCATAAACCAGCCCAGGTCCAACGACTGACATGGATATTACACACACAGAACCAGACAAGCCTCTCCATTCAAGAGTCAGGGGTGGAAAAAAACTCTTCAGAGGCTTTTTGGAAAGGACAGGAATGACAGACTCCTATTACATAGCAACCTGCTGGGCCACCACATCACAAACAGTGGCAAAAGGCACTCGAGAGGAAAATCTCATGAGCCACGAGTGCAGACAGACACCCATCTGTCTGCACCAAAACCCCACATTCTCCACTCTTCACACCAATTACACATCACAAACTGACTCCTTTACAAACACTCCTTATTTTGCACGCTACTGTCAACAGCACAAAAGACAGAATGAGCAAACACTTCAAGTTTTAGCTACACCCATGAGGTATATTACAAAGAGCAGCAGTATTAAAATGAATAATTAAAATCATACCCAGAACAACAAAAATACAAATATTTCAATGGCTTATTTGAATGCAGAACAAGCCCACTAACATTTGCCAGCGTTGTAAAACCACAATTAGTTTGCACAACTACTCCACATGAAAAGACAGACACCCTTCAGGTTGGACAGTTTATCTGCTCCTTACTTAATCTTAACTTTGGTTTGTCTTACCAAACTTTCTGTAACTGTAACAATGACAACACAACTGTTAAGAAATTGGGATGATTTCAAGTAAAATGATACTACAGACCAGTCAGCATTTATAAATACTATATCCAACAATTTCTGAAATGTTAGTGTACTGAACCAATACTAAACTATCTTATTACATTTAGCTAGAATAGTTCAACAACATAAGTTTAACAACATACTTTTTGTTTGCATTTTCACTAGCTTCATTTTACCCATACCATCCATCTTACTTGTCCCATTCACCCTCCAACATGTTAGTTTGCAACACAGAATTAATGACTTATTTCTATTCAACACAGTCTAAAGATTAACTGAGAGAAGCAATATCAATATACTACCTGTTACTCAAAAAAACCAAACCCAAACAACCTGAAACATTAGCCATGAGTGCAGCAAGTCTGTATTTTGATATGAAAACTAAGATATTTGCATTTGCAAGACCAATCTTTTGTTATCATGAAAGATAGCCATTTTAAAAGTGTGGAAGGAATATGTTACCACTGAAACTGAAGGCTGTTGTAAGCTTACAGGATTTTCAGTTTCAGTTGAGGTATGCTAAAGTTTAAAGAAAGGGAGAATATCAAAACTTCAGTAAAGTAACTGTAAAAATTCTACTTTTGTTAACTTGGCTCGCAGTTTAACGTTGACTTCCCCCATGAAATTTCAGCTGCCATAAAACCTGTATGCTAAAAACATTTAACTGTTACGTTTGAAAGTATAAAACTAGGAGCAGAAGAAATTAAAGGGAACGTTCATTGCAAGGGAAAGCAAACTTTTGGTCTGCAGACTTGTGCAGGGAGGTTCAAATATGTCTACAACATGCTGAGGAGAAAGAGGAAAGAAAGGACATGTTCTGTGCTTTTAAAATTAGCTAATCTGCTTAATAGCTGGAAAGCGCCGCTACCCAGCCTTTAACCCTTTGCCTTCCTGGGCCCTATGACAAGAAAATGCTGCCCAAAACGGGAGGGGATAAATATCAAAGCAATCATCGGTTACCTTTAAAACTCTTTGCTTCCTCCTCTGAGGCCTTTTGTTTTCTGTTAGGACCTAAAAAAACATCAAATTGCAGAATATAAGTTGTGGTCACAAAGGCAGGCGGACACCTCCGATTTTTATTATGGAACAGCGATATTTCTGCAGTACCCCGAGTGCTTTACACGCGGCCCTCGCACGGGCCGG